ACATCAGCAGACTGAGGTTAAGGGGCTGGCGGCTGGCGGTCCAGATTCTAGACTCGAGTCTTCCCGAAGTTGAAGGACCTGACTAAAGCCCCAAGCGTGAACTCGAGAACGTCTCAAGCCTGACATCGTCGGTAAGGGCTCGCGGCTCCAGCTTTCAAGGCCACTTCGCCGGTAAGTTGCCATAATCTTTAGATGATTTCGGGGCTCGCTGGCCACTGTCCCAAATCGCATATCTCGTAGCCGAGCCCGGGAAGGAGCTACTTTTTCGGGTTTAGGGCTTCAGCATGTTGCTGGCATTCTCTATAATGAGGGATTTCATGTTTGAGTCATAAAGCCTTGAAGTGCACATCGCTCAATGGAAGCGTCTAAACTCTAAATCTGAACTTTACACCGCGATCCGACAAGCCTAACCTTACCCTCAGCCCTCATAAATCCTCAACCCTTCCCCCATTGATGAAACACCCTCCTAAGGATAGAAACACTCTGGGAAAACACCCTGACATCATCGACGCCTTTTAGAACCTGATTTGCATTAGGGGGTTCAGGAGCAAGACAACAGCAAGAGCAAGAGCAAGAGCAGGAGCAAAAGCAAGAACAGGAGCCTGAGCAAGAGCAGGAGCAAGAGCAAACGCAAGAGCAAGAGCAGGAGTAGAGCAACGCAGGAGCAAGAGCCAGATCTTTCAAAGGTAGTAATTACGGTAGTAAAAATACCCCCTGATGTAAACACGCTTTCCGAATTTTTACTGTGGGAGTGGGGGGGGCCTCTCTGTTAAATATTAGGGAAGGGAATTTTTTTCTCCAAGGGCGAGCTCGAAAAATCGCACAAAGACACCCACCTCCTGCCAAAATCTGGAAGGATGAGACCACGAGCATTCCCGATGCTTTTGGCGTCGTGCCCTTCTTCCACGACGATCTCTACAACCAGCCCCCTGGAATCTCGAGCAGTTGGTTTGGGGCTGCGCCACATGACCGTCCTTGCAGGGTCATCAACGTCGTGGTCAACTCTTTCAGACACACATTACGTACCTCAACGGGAACTGTGCAACCAGACCACATCCCTATGGTAATCAGAAATCCAGATCTAATCACATGGATCCTCTGAAGCGAGCAATACTCGCATTATTACAAACCACTATGCCTAAGTTTAACTATACAGTTATTCTCTGTTTTGGCTCGTAGATGCCCCAACACAAGCCAGCCCGTGAGATGAGCCCAAGACTCAGGTTCATTGCTTGGTTTTTCTTCGTGGGAAGCCTTTGCGTGGTAGCATCTCGGCTCAAGTATTTTGCTTTGTGAAGGCTTCGGGCTTCGGTTTTTGAAGGGGCGATGTTGCAGGTGGCTTTCGATGCGATATAATATAAGTGGGAGTTGGATTCGGGTTGAGTCTCCACACCGGTCAAGTTTTGGGATTTTGAGGTCATAGGCCTAGAAACCAGGTCAGCCTTTTCTGCACATCTCGGAGAGTCGACCATGTCAATCGTTCAAGTCTGGATTTTTATGCTCTTTATGTTCTAAGTCCTAGACTAGTTGATGTGTACGTGTCATGTTCATAGTCTTATTACAGCCCTTTGCCGCCTGCTACTCCCTTCCCCCCAGGAACCGACCTTAACTCCTACACCTTGAACACCAGAGCAGCTTTGAACCAGGAGTGGTATCTGCGCGCGTCGAACAGCGTGCTAAACCAGATCTTGCTCTATGGTTTCTTGGTGCTGAAGCTTTGGGGCTCGACATGCATTGGTAAATGGGTTTGACAGGGAGGGTGGAGTGAGGGTTCTCCATCTGAAGGGCGTTGATTGGGTGTGAGCGTTTGTTCAAGCTTGCAGATTTTGCAGTTTGTGTAGCTACAGTGTAGCACGCTTCGATTTCGTCAGGCCCAGCAGCAAAACTCAAGACGGCTGGAATAGCTTAAACCCGCGGCGGAGACCACTGCATTCTCATCTCCCCTGAACTCTTCACTCTGGGCGTATAGTGCATGAGCCTCTCCGGAGCTGGAGTGCTGCAATTTTTTTGCCTTGGCCACTCCTTTCCCCAGGTTTCTTCACCGTGGCTTGTATTGGCCTGGCAATCTTTTCGACCTGGGTGGTGAAGCAGTGCTTTGGCGAAATGCTGAATCTTAAGCCACTGGACGGCCTACAGTCGAAGTTATCTTGATGCAGATCCAGAGGCCGCCCTGAAGTAAACCTTCAACCTCCAAACCTGAACGTTCAACCCTGAAGACTAAATCCTAAAAATCCGAGAGCCCGGTCCTTTTGGCGACCCTCCAGGTGTTGCCGACCTGTCCGCGTCCACCGCAAAGCAGATGCATAGTAATTAGATTCCAGTGCATTCAGGTCTTGTCTACGAAGCGCCCAGAAAGAAGAAGCCCAAGCCTAGCCCCAGCTTCTGCGAGCCCCAAACCCACAAATCCTCGGCCAGAATGTCCCCTCTAGCTTCTTCTCCCTCACAAGAGCCACGCACCGCGGAACCGTAAGTGACCTTCGATTTCTGCCTGAGCTAGACCAACGGCCAAGCCCACATCGTTGCCCCACCAAGGCTTCTGTCTGACGACTCCGAATCCTGACGCATTTCGATCGACCGAACACCAGGTTCTCAGAAAGAAAACAGCCTCACCTAAACTGCAATCCCCAAACCCCGAAACAAAGCCCACCCCCGTAGCAGCCGAAGCCTCCGGGATTTCTAGAGACGAGAGCCTCCGGACTACGCATGCGCTGCGCGTTCGACGGCATTGCATTTGGGATCCCCTTCTGCACCATCGGAGATTTTCGGGACGATGGACTCATCTCCGCGCAGCTTTTAAAGTCGAGTCTGCCAAATCTCTCGAATCGTGAGGCCCTGTGCCTCAAAGGGATGCTTACGTTCTCAACTCGTTTTAAGACGGCCTTAAAGGCTCTCGCCGCGCTGAAGGCGCTCAGTTTCACGCACCTGTCACAGCCACAGCGAAAATCAGAACTGCAAGCTGCAAGGGTTCAGGAGTTGCGGGCTTGGGGGGTTAAGGGCCTGATTTTGGCTTTCGGGTCTCCGCTTTCAGGGTTTTAGGGTGTCCAGGGTCCCTGGTGAGAGTTCAAGAATGTTCAAGATTTAGGAAACAGAGTGCAGCAGGCTTTTTGTTGCTACAGGGAATGATCGAAAGTTCGTCCTTTTCTGAAGTGAAACCCGTGGCTTTCCGCTCCCAGAAAAGGTAAAAACCACATGAAGCGTCGTTGGTAGCCCTGAACATTCGGTGCCCGGCGTAGGTCTCATAGAGATGAGGGTTGAAGTTCTCATCGGATAAGGATAAGGTGCAGGGTCCGCGTTTGGATCCCCGTACAGTGTGTGTTTTTTGTTGGAACCGTCCTCGTATGCTGCCGGAGCTGACACTGAGGTGGGACGAGGACGCGATGAAGGAACCCAAGACAGGCCTGAGGGCCGTATTTTGGGCTTCATGCGTCACATGAGATTTCGGTTTCACTCAGGTGTAAGGCTTAAACCAGCTTGGGATTTTTATCCCCAATGATCAAGTCCAGCTTAACAAGGGGGCTTGCAATGCAGCCACGGGCTTTTATTATCGCAACATGCTAGATACTTTCAAGCATTTGAGTTGATGGTTCGCCGTTGGCCAACATTGGCACCACCCAACCGGTCCTGCCTCCTGAACCATCAAGTTGACCGAAACAGAAAAAGTTTCGAGGGCCCCTAAAACCATATACTTAGATCCTTCACTGAATCTTTAGACCGTACAGGCCCGAAACCTTTCGAGGTTCAGACATGTTCTTCGTGATGAAGCTCCAGCCTCAGGGTGTTACAGATGTTACAGAGCGTCAGCTTTTTTGCTTTCTGCTGTTGAAATTTAGGAGATGAGGGAAGTCGGCTTCGGGTATGGCCTCGCATTCGGAGTAAGCCATTGAATCATTGATTGAGCCCGAGCCAGAGACTTGCGAGTCCTCCGATCTCAGGATGCGGCAGGTCTCCAGTGATACACCGCTCTCAAAGCAGTTCAACGGTTGGCGCCTCGGGACGTTTGCTGGCTCGATGAAGGACCGCTGCCACGTATGGGCCGCTAATACACTGAAAAAGTTCCTGTTGAGACCACATACAGTGGCTTGCAGGCGATCTTGCAGTTCGATGTTTTTGGGTGCAGGCGTTTGCTGTCATCGTTGGAGCACGGAAGGTGAAAACTCCGAGCCGTAAATCCAAAGTCAGATTCCTACACACGCAACATCACTCAAACTGAACTTATATATGTCTTATGTGTGGCCGAATCTAGGGACGAAAGACGAAGTTGAGCCTGAGACCGAGTCGATGTGAAATATACTGACACGACTGGTAAAACGGTGTTGGCTGACAATTGAAGCCTAAACTGGCCTAAGCTAGACACAAGCCTATAGGATTAAAGCAATTCCCAGCGGCGTGTCTCCCCAGCGGCGTGTCTGTGCCTTTGGGCTGAGAGGCTCCGAGTACCAGCCACGCCAATCATTTTCGCTTAAAGCAGGCGTACAGCAGCACAAGTGACATGATGGAAGTGAGCATACATGCTTGCATGTATACTGTGTATGTATGCATATATACATGTGAGTGTATATATATATACACACACATGCATACATATGTATACATTGTCAAGTGAGGATGAGTGAGGTATATCATACTCGAAACTATGCAAAGCTGCATTTCGAAATGATTTCGCTCAATTCTTCAAAGCAATGAAGTCAATTCTCGCCATGTTGGCTCCGTGATCGTTTAAAAGCCCAGGCCCTAAACCCGGCCTGAAGCCTATGCCGCACCTAAACCTTAGAATCCCAAATCTAAACCCGTCAGGCCAAAATCTCAAATCCTATAACTCGCCTTACGCAAATACCGGAAACCCTTCATGTCCTCATCGTAAGACTACCTACTGGAAAACCCAAGATACAAGATCGTGGAACGCATGAGCCGAAAACCCAACTCCCCTATTCACCTCAACCTCAGGCGAATGGGGCTTCTGGGAGAGTTTCTTTGTCCCTCTGCTCGATGAGCAGCAGACGATGCAGGCTAGAAATGCCGGTGCTTGCTAATTATATCGTGCAGAGTTTTTTGGTGTTGGGTTGCGCTGGATTCATTGGATTGTAGAATTGTAGATGCTTCGGATTCTCAGGACTGGTAGAGTTTTTAGATTCATGGCCACATTCAAACCACAGCGCCTGCGTGATGCGGTTTTCTTTCGTTGAAGTGTTCAAATTCCGCCATTTGAGTTGGCTCGTCGCACTTTTCTTCCGCCACGCGTCTCGATGTTTCGATCGTAGCACTCAGGCGGAGCACCTCATTCCGTTTTGGGAACGAGTGGAAACGGAGTGTCCCAATCGCAGAGAGACTGCCTGCCAGTCCCTTTCCCTCATGGACCCCGCGATGTGCGAGGCAGCGCGAGGGTCGTCTGATTCGGGTTTGGATAGATGGAACTAGGTCTGGGGGATATGTCGCTCCAACGCTCCATGGTGAGTTCCCGAGGGACTAAGATTGCCAGGAATGGAACCTCCTCATTCTGCTTGGGCATTGCAGGGTCTCTATAGACTCAGAGCGGCCTGGTAGGGATGCACTCAGTTTCACTTTTGCCATCGCGTGGTCGAAAGTTCTGATCGGATTGCTGTCGGGCTGTGATGGGTTTGAAAGGCAGCTTGTGGAGCTTTGGGTGTGGATGGCAGCATGGCGTGTTTATGATTATGCGCTAGGAGTTATGGTTCGGGATCACATTCAAGATATTCCAGACACGCCGGTTCTGCCATCGAAGGAGTACCTTTGCAGAGAACGGCAGGGAAGGGTTTGTGGCCTGGAATAATCGCGCTCGAGAACATGACTAAGACTCAGGGCTTGTAGGTTAGTGCTGAAACTGTAGATCAATGTGTGCAGCATGCTCAGAGAACCCTCCAAGGTCTGAAGCCCAAAAGTCAACAGCCAAACCCTGCAAGTTCAAATAGTGCGGCGAAGGACTTTTTCGGCTCCCGTCGTCTGCCGGTGCGATGTCATAGCTGCCCGAAGGGGAGAAAGGCCGGAACTGATGGATGTCTGGAGTTTCTCAAGGGGTGGTGTAGGGTTTTGGGGCTTCGGTGGGGTCGGGTCTTACGAACTTGAGATCTGCCATGCAAAGGCATGTAAAGCTTAAAGAGGTGAATGGAGAAAGGCGCCGGAGGAGGCCTGATTGAAGAAGATTCGGATCCAAAGCCACCCGGACCAGAGGGCCTTCGGAGCTGCACCGAACGGCTCCAGGCCTGCAGATTTCAATCAAAATGTTCCGGCCCAACGTTGGATCCAGACGAGTTCATACACATATACAGAGCTCCGCATAGGGCTGTGCAGTTCAATCTCAGGCGGCGGGGGTCTGTCATCTTGCGGCTCAGAAACATAGAATCTGTTCACTATTCGTTGCTGTTCTACACCAGTCCCTGTGAGGCTGCCTTTCTGGGATCGATGCCAAGAAGCCCTGCATTGAGGGTATGAGTTTAGGAGCCATAACTCATTAGGGTTTGGTTTCGTAGAGGATTTAGTGTCAAGGGTTTGGTGATACGCGTACCCGTGGAGGTGCTCACGATACCAGACGACCTGGTTGTGAGGTACACGCTCAAGGCCGGACTTCAGGGGACCTGGCGGGAGAGTAAACTTGTAGAACAACCCCCACATAACTAGCAGCTTGCTAGTCAAGGGACTTGAGGCCGTTTGGAATGCGAAACAGGGTTCAAGGTTGGCTCTGCTTAGTCGGCTTCGTCAAAGCTACATGACCGGCTCCCTGAGTCCCCAGGTATCACTAGACCTCTGAATCCCGTTAATCAGTGCTTGGACGTGAGTCTCAACTGCTTCAAGGTGTGGAACAACGGCTTCAAGCTGTGGTTTGAGGTTTGAACACCTGGTCCCGGGTCGTCAGCTTCCAATTTGTCCTTGAGGTTCAGGGTCTCTACACCCTGAATTGACACAATCTCCATATTCCATTCAGTCCCCATCCCCTAAACTTTTTCAGTTTTCTCTTCTGGCGCCCAGGACGCGGCTTCAACAACCCAAGTCCGACACATGAACCAAGCCTCGGCACACCTTCAGACCCGCATTTAGCTCATTTTGGGGGGTGTTCGTGCTTGTGTTCGTGTTTTGGATGTAGGGTTTCAGCGCTGACCCTGTAGGGGCTCGCTGTCTCTCTGCCTTTTCGGATCCTTCTCCGGTGGTTATAGGGCACATTTATGGATGGGCAGTTAATGCAGGACGCCTGCCATGAAACGCGGTGTTTTAGCTGACTGACAAAAACCATTCTTAGGTCTTGCTCGTGGTGCCATGTGAATCGATATCCACGTTGGCAGGTCGTCTGTAAAGACATGGAGCAGTGGTCCGACCTTTGCAACAAAATCGGCTCCGCAGCTGCACCCTTTGGGGCCTAGAGGCTTGAAATCCCAAACCACATGGTACCATGGTCTGGGATACAAGCAAGAAGTACTGTGATCTGATACCGAAGCTACTAGTACCCATGATAAGCATTGAGAGTGTCAGTTTTGGGATGCAGGTCAAGAGTGCAGGTCTGACGGCCTCCTGAGATCAATTTTGGGGACGCTTCCTTGAGCGCGAGCGAGTTTCAGAGACTATAGCAATTGGTGACCCTTACATGTATGTACGTATGTATGTATGTATGTATGTATGTATGTATGTATGTGTGTATGTATGTAGGCATGTATGTCCGTAAGTTTGAGAGATTCCCATGGTGTGCTTGCTATAACTGAGGTGAGGATATGATCATGCAGGCGGGTTGCGCCCAGATAATGCTCGCTGAGCACAGATATTGAGGATCTCTTGTTACAAATTGATCCGAGAGCCGGAGCTATGCATCCCTGCCGCTCTGCATTTGCGGGCGTCCAGCATTCTTCGTTTACGGCTGGGTATGCAAGGAAGCTAAGACCTCAACCCGAACAGCGTAAACTAAAAGACATGCAGTCCCTGCAGTGTAAGGGCGAATACCCCATTCGACACTCGCCTTGTGGTTGGTTGTATTTGGTCCACCATTTCGGTGCTCTGGGCCGCTGCAGGATGAGCCAAGGCTCAGCTTTTGGACATAGGAGCTGCGGGACTGTAGGCTTCAGGGCTTTTAGGGTTGTGAGATTCTGGTGTTGAGGGTTGCCGTTTTGGAGATTTTCTTATACATCTGCCAGGATGGCTGCATCATCGAGTACAAGCATCTGAAGCAGGGGCCAGAGGGTCTCGTTCCGCTTCGGGGTTTTTGGTTCAGAGGGCCGACGATGTTCATTGACTGGGGCTTCGGGTTTTGGCTTTTTAGTATTCCGCACCAGCTTCGATGCCTTTGTTTGGGGCCATATATAGTTGTCCAGATCTCAATGGTAGCACTTCCGATCTTTTTTGCCGGGCATGCCTGAGGTTGCTTGACGGGCAGTACATGTCTGCCTGCATAGTTTGAGAGAGAGAGAGGGGGGGGGGGAGCGAGAGAGAGGGAGCGAGAGAGAGAGAGAGGAGGGGAGAGGGCGAGAGAAAGACAGTTGACACAGGTTAGGTACAAACAGAAATGGGTCAGTAGATGGAACTCTTACAGGGCAGCAAACTGACAGTCGCGGCCGGGGTTTGGCTTATGCAAGAAGCACAAAGTCTAAATTCCAAACCTATGCTTTTGGATTCAGTCTTGGCAAGCATCTCGTAGTGTAGTCTTGCATCCCAGACTGTGGGCATTTAGGGGCGACGAACTTCGGGTGATCATTTTATTGTTTATGCCGTTTGGCTTCTGACCATCAGCTTCGATTGAGCCGGCGGCGAAGATGAGGCTTGGCATAGTCATCGGGAGGCTTGCGGCTCCATTAACGACTGGGATAATGGAAGGGTCCGAAGGCAAACTAACAACACATCTTGACAATGAATTTGTTTTCCCGAGCATAGGCACTGGTGGGTGTGGCAGTGTGGCACTTGTGCAGACTTCGACGCTCGTCGGCTGGAGTGGGGCCTGCGCAGCTGCTGCTCGTTTCATGCGGCTGCAGGGCTCAGAGTTGTACCCCAGACTCCTCCCCAAAAGCCTTCCTATGACCGCAGCCGTCGTCACCCGACTGGTAAGGCCTGGTGACGAGTGCGTCGAAGCTTACCACGAGATGACCGGGACGGAGGCATATCGGCCGAGAGAAGCCCCTATTGACCCTAATATGTCCAAGGAGGGTCTGCAATATGCTGCGATTGAGGAATTAGGGCCCAAAATGCCAGCACGATTCTGTCTTTGTGACCTTTTGGTAGCGTACATGGACTTCTAGCTCCGAGGTTACTACAGCACACTGAAAGTGCAGAATCGTGTTACAACCTTGATTTGCTCGTGCTTTGTGTGGTTTGACATGGCCCCCTTGAAATGAAGTTCTAATTGTACTCAACCCTGAACCAGATTTACTTTTCACTTCGGGCTGAAGCTTGAACCTCAAGTCTGAAATCAAAGACCCCAGGCCCTACGGGCCCTGCATTCACCAAGCCCCCAGGATCCTATGCCCCATACGCTAGAGCGATTATGATTCGTTCATGTCACCATTATTATGTGTCAGACCCT